TTATTAGGGAATATAAATTTCTTAGTATAGTTTAATCTCAATAAAAAGTGGCAGGACAGCCGAATTATAAAAAAAAACAAATCTTTTTAGTTAATATTACTAAAATAAATATCGGCATGTTGCTGATGATTTCTGAAAATTGTATCCTTATTACTTATTTTGTTAGATTTGCATTGTACAATAAGTTTATGCTTATCTTGAAAAGTTGTATTGCAATTTAATACTATTTCCTTTTTAGTTTATTTTTGATAGACTAATTACTGATATTCTTATTCCGGTTTATATGTAATAAACAATCATTCCTTGAGTTTTATTCTTTAATTGTACTAATAGTTTAAAAATATTGCAAGAAACTTTTAAGAATGTGTTGTTAAAGGAAATTTTTAAATGACATCTATTGACTTGTAGTTAAAAAATACAAGATATAAAAGTAAATTTATTAAATTTTTCAATAAGATATCTTTGTATTCATCTTTGTTGTCACAGTTTTGGGCTTAATTGCTATAAAAAATTATAGTAATATAGCAAATAATAAAATATATTATGAAATTTTATATTTAAAAGCTTCTTGTCTGCCTTGTCTCCTGATATCTAACATCTAACTCTTAAAATACTTTAAAATAAGTCATCAAATATTTATTAAATTATCTGTAATAAAAACTCAAAAAAAGGTTATTTGTATATGCAAAGTGTACAAAAGTGAAAAAGACCTTTGCGATCCTTGAACAAAAGATACCCATATTGCAAAATATAGAATATATAAAGAATTAGTAGGTTCTGCTGAACTCAAAGATAATTTCTCTTCTTCTGCAGATCCTCAAACAGAGTCAGTAGTACATTTCAAACTAATATTTCTTCCTCTACTTTAATTGATCTTAGTCTTCAAAAAGAATCATTTCTTCAAGAAGAATTATTTTTTGTAACTAAAAATGATAGAAAAAAAGCGAAAGCTATAATTAGAGAACAACCTGATATTGCTATAGTTCTTGAGACTTTAAATATTTCTGATGATGAAGAAGAAGTCACAGAAATAGAGCCTGAAAGTGATGATGACAAAACTATAATAGATTATTCTGCTTCTGATATTGACAACAGAGATAAAGAAGAATTCAAACATATTGATAATCTTGATAGTAGCTTTGGTTGGATCCTAAGATATCAATAAAAATATCAGTTATCTAATATAGCAACAAAATTATTAGTTAAATTAATTCATTATCTATTGACATGTCTTAATCAGGATCAGTTTAAAAACTTTCTTAAGTCACTCCATTTAGCCAGAAAATTAATGGGTTTAGGTCTACACATAAATAATTATACAACTTGTTCAGTATGTAATAAGTTGTATAAACCTAGTAAGGTAGCAACAAAAAAGCTGAACAAATTCTGATATGTTTATATTGTACTTTTGTAGAATATTCTAATCACACAATGTCTAAAATGAGACAACCTTGTAATCAATAATTGGCAAAAGAAGTATCTACAAAGGATGGAATATTGTTTTGTCCTTTGCTTACTTATCTAATAATAAATATTAAAGATCAGCTCACATTATTATATAGCCAAACTGAATTTGAAGAATTATGTAGAAAATAGGTTATAGAAATATAAATAATAATTATCTTGCCGATATTTATGATGGTAATATATGAAAGAATTTTAAAAATCAAGATGAAGATTTCTTTATATTAGAATATACTGAAACATACTTGGTCTTATGATTAATCTGGACTGGTTTAGTCCTTTCAAAAATTCTGTATATTCTACTGGTGCAATATATGCAGTTTCTGTAATTTGGCTCATGAACTCAGATTCAAGCCTCAAAATATAATTACTCTAGCATTACTATCAGAATCTAAAGAAGTTAAATCACATTATATTAACTATTATCTTGCACCTTTGGTTGATTAATTGCTTGAATTGTGAAATGGAGTAGAAATTTGCACAAATGAATCTCCTACAGGTAAAAAAATCAAATATGCTATTATATGTTACTCATGCGATATTCTAGCAGCCAGAAAGTTATATAAACAAATATCAGCAAGAATTGCATGTTTTCAATGTGAAAAACATGCATAGTTTGATGTTAGATATCAATCTAATTTTGGTGGTTTTTCAGATATAGATGACTGGTTTGTAGAGCATGATATTGAGAAAATTAAAAAAGATATATATGAATAGTTTCAGTGCAAGACTGAGGATCAAAGAAAGAAACACCTTTCTGAAAACTTGGTGAGATGATCAGAACTTTACCATCTTCCTTATTTTAACCCAATCAAACATGTAATTGTAGACCCAATACATTGTTTATTTTTGGGAATTGCAAAATAGATTGTTATATGACTTTGGATAGAAGGTAGAAAATTAAGTATTGATAATTTAAAACTTATAGATAAAAAAGCAAAAAAATTACAACCTTCAACAGATATTGGAAAAATTCTTTATAAAATTGCTACAGGAGAAGGATTTTTTAGATATACTGCAAACCAATAGCAAACATTTATAATGATATATGCTACTACAATTATCTGATATTTATTAATAGAACCAAACCAGCATATTCTTGCAAACTTTGTTAGGATATGTAATTTGTTAGTTTGTAGAATATTAGATAAAAAGATACTTAATGAAGCTTATCAAATATAGCAAAGTTAATAGAACAGAACTATAGTTCTAAAAAAATTACTCTTAATATTTATTTAAGTTTACATTTGTGCGAAAATTATAGTCCATTGTATTTATTTTGGTGTTTTTCCTTTGAGCGTATAAATGAAATCTTAGGTAAATATCGAGTGATTGTATATAGTATTATATTATATAAAAATACTTACCAATATATATAATTTATATTTTATAGGCTTATATAAAAGTAGCTATAGGAATATAGAACCAGAACTTTTGAGAATTATTCTCACGAATAAATATTTGGATAAAATAGTATCACATACTGAAAATGATAACAGGCTATCCAATTCTCTTACAATACTAAAGGGACAAATATCAGGTGGTAGCATAGCTATTCCAGATGAATTTAAATGCAAGATCTTCTTCAATTTTATAATTTAAGAAATATTATCAACCAAGGAAAAGTCTTTAGTTATGAATCATTTCCTAGTACATTTCTCGATCCAAAATTAGAAAAGGCTATATTACAACCTGATATTCAAAACCTTTTAGTTGAATTCTATAATGTGGCAGATCTAGGCTATCAATTCACCAAACCTGGAAGTATATCGAGAATTGATTAGATATCTGTATTTCTTGTTATTATTCAATATAGATGGTTAAAGTTAGGATTAGAAATTTTTAGATCTACATTCTCAGCTTACCATATCAAATCTTTAAGAATTTTAGCAAGATTTGTTGCTTCAGAAGATAAATCAGCAGATTCATATCCTGATCAGGTTCAATTCTACTTTGATATACTATCTATCTTCCTTCTGCTGAATAAACATATCATCTTATATTTGTAAAATAGTATTAACCTGCTAAAAATTATGAGACAAGGTTTCATATAAAATTAAAGGTGATGATCTTAGTTGTAATATAGAGTTGTGGGATCAAGAATTTTATGAGTTAAGCAGGGACTGTATAATTTCCATACATCAGATATATTCCTGGTTCATAGCAGGTACATATACTATTGATATCAAAAAGAATCTAAAAACCTATATAACTATAATTCTTTTAAATAGAAAGTATAATTTATAAATACTGATATTTCAATTGTATTTTATTAACTTATATTCTTATCAGTTTTGTTTTTAATATATTATATCATTATTAGTTTATTCTTTTTTATTTTAATATACATATTAAATATATTTGATATTAATCTTATATATTTAAATAAAATTATTTTTTAACTTATATATAGGTTATATAATAACTAGATTTTCATTATCAGTATTAATATAAATATCAGAAATAAATAAATATTGATATCAATATCAGGATTTGAACCCTTCAAATAGATTTATAGCGCAACCAAAATTCTGTGTCAGAATTGATGAGTTTTGCTATAACTTCAATACATTTTGATCCTAAATTTTGGCTGGTCTGCTAAATTTTGGCTGCACTATTAATCTATTCTGATAATCTTTACATTTACTGGTACGTATCATATAGGGTTAGAGTTAGTTTCAGGAATATATTTTTAATAAATTGTCACTTAGTGTGATGTTGGTTAATAGTATGCAGTAAGTAGTAGTAGAATGGAGCTACAAAATTCAGATATATTAGAATCAATTCAGATATTAGAGATTTTTTAATTAATATCAGATTTTTTGATAAAAATTCCTAATATTAGAGCATAAAATATAGCATAAGATGAAAATATATATAATTACTTAAAAAATATATCATAAAATCAATTATATTGATGTAATTAAAAATATTATTTATTTCAGAGGGCGTGGCGACTTAGTGAAGTGGTTAAGTTGTCACATCCCCAAGTAGCAGGACAAGAGTACGAATCCCACTGGCAACAAAATTCGAATTTTACAGAATGTGTTACGGCAGACTGTGTGTAAACTGATGGATCATCGGATCTGTAAACTTGGTTGTACTAGGGGTTATTGGGAAGCTGTAGAACTATAGTGTGACGCATGAGTTACATGAAACCCGAGTGAAACAGCTGTGTAAATCCA